CCCCCCCCCCCCCCCTCCTTTTTCCTGGCTAAAAAATATGTGACTCCCCACTGTTTCCACCTCCCCACCCCTCCGGCTAAATTATGACCGGTCCCTAAACATGAATTTTCCAATTTTCCATAAGTAACTCATATTTATTTAACATGAAGTACTGGACAACAACAAAAAGCATGGATGACAATGCAGAAGAAATTAAGGTGAGATTTTTTCGATATTTTTCAAATATTTTAAAACCAGTTATGTTTGGATGAATTATGTTGATACTTTGATATACAATCTTCATTGTTTAACTTCTTTTAGGCGGACGAAACTGATCAAAAATCACAAAAAAAGGTCAGCAATACTGCCAATACAATATATTCAAAAGATTATTAAAAGCAACTATATTTAATAGCTATAATAAGTTTAATATAACTACACGTATGTTTTTAGATTGAAACAGCCGTGAAATTTTTGCAAAATCCCAGAGTTCAGGAGACACCATTTAGTCAACGGAAAGCATTTCTAGTGAAAAAAGGTATGGCACTATTGTCCTAAAGTTTGTGAGTTCACGGGCGGCAATTTGTAAGATTTGTTAATCTTACAAATCAAATAGTTGAACAGCCACTTGTAGAACTTTGCAGTCGAGGTCCATCTTTTGTTCCAACGCCTACAAGCATAGACTGGAACGGTTTACAGCAAAGTTGGCAAGCTTTTAAACGAAAAGTAAGATGGCGAGCGTTTTACCACTCTTCAGAAGAAACGGGGGGAAGTTTTGAAGTTAATCCTCTTGAACCTCCACGTGAAAAATCGACCAAAGAACCACCATACGCTAAGGTTCCAGCCATTGAGGTATTTTTGAATAGAGTTGAAAAGGACTTGTTTGATACAACTAGAAGTAATTATGTGACGGACAATTTAACATCAGAAGAACGTAAGGCCTTAACCAAGTTTCGTTCCACCCCAGTGGAGGAGCGTAATTTGATCTTTTCCTGCTACCATTAAGTTACAATAGAGAAATGTTTGGTTTTATAAACGTGAACTTGAGTAACTATGTGTCAGACCTGCCAAGTCGGCAAGTCTTACAATTTAATTGTGAGACTGACAATTTTTGATGCTTTGTTACGATTAAGTCCCCAAATCTCACGATTTTCGGCAAAATCTCTGATAAAACCACAAATGATTCCAAACACGTACTCGTGGAAAAAAGAAATATGCTATTATTTTGTGAGACTTGACACTGGAAAAAACAGCCTATTTAGCCTTGCATTACGGTTATATTAACAAAAAATATAAATGCATATTATCCTAAGATTGAATATCTATTGATTATTTTCTAGTGTTAACCCTAGTCATATTAATGAGCAAACCTGAAAATTTCTGAAATTGAAAGTCTTCCAATTTTTCAGTCAATATCACAACTTTTTAGATAGCAACTCACTATTTCTGCTACTCAAGGGTTGGCAAGTCTGATGTGTCGTTTGTCAGCCATGGTCGTACTCGATGGATCGAGTCTTTCCTCTGAGTATATCCTTCAAAACCCACTGTGTAAAACTACCACTTTTCAATCCTCCTACTAATGGGTCGTTCCAGAAAAGATCCACACTCCCCCACGGAGGAAATTTCTGCCGTCCGGAGGGGGAGGGGAGACAAAATTGTTTCTGATAATAGTAAATGTATTAGGACATCTGAAGGGGGTAGGGGGGTTAACTTCCAATTTCCTCTGTGAGGGAGGTATGGATGTTTTCTGGAATGACCCAATACGTATCGTCAAGATCTGGAACACTGTATCTCAAGAAGTATCTCTTGATAGTCTCTCTAGACCTACTGTACTTCTTTTAAATGTTATCTCAAGCACAAATATTCAATCTTAGTTAACTCTATTTATGACGTAGATGTGTTTTGCATGTGGTCTTTGACTCGGGACTGTCCTTGCCACAGGTCTTAACTGTATTAACATTATGTAATAATGTTTAATTAACATTAATAATACCGTTATATAATATATGACATAAACATAACACAGCATAATATAGTTTGTAAACCTTGAGTGGGTGCATTTACGATTTGTGCCAGTTGTTTCCTGCAGTTTGTTTATTAAGTAGGAATACAATGCATTGTGGGAAGCAACTGGGGATTTACTAACCCTCGATTTTTATGAGGCGTATGCACCTCCGAGGTTTACTAGAACAGTATAGATTTTCAAGTAGAACAGTAAATTTTTACTAAGTTTGGGCAGGTGCCTTGCATGGTTCTTTGAGTCCCGTTTGTGCCTCGACCGTTTAGGGTGTCCTTTGCACATATACTTTGGCGGACCCTAATAAAGACAATAATACTAATAATGATAATGTTAATGATAATGATGATAATAATAATAATAATAATAATAATAATAATCTTAATATAATACTTTTAGGAATATACTGTAACATAAAACTAATTTCTAAAGATAACATGTATCAGGATTCGGATCCTAAGGTAAATTTACAGATGCCAATTAAAAAAGGTACTACAGGAGGCACTACTAGGGGTATGGTTGGAGGGTATGTGCCCCAAAAAATTTTGAAAATCAGGCGTCTTACATTGGCTAAAAATGCATTTGCCATACAATATTCCATAGAATATACTTAAATTTATACACTATTGCACTATTAAGATGGATGCTCTTATAACTGTATTTCTGATGTCATGCTGTATGTACAGTACTTGTACAATGCAGGTTACATTCTTTCTATTGGTTAGATTTTCCCTCTGAATTTCTCCCTTTATTTAAATTTTTACAACTATCTTAGTTTTTCTTTCTTGGGGAAATATTTTCTGGCGCTTAATTCCAATATGACTCTAGCAAATTTTTTCCAGGTGCTCTGAACGTGTAGCCAACACCCTGTCCCAAATATGGCTTTTATTGTGTATAGAAGGTCAACCTCATGTTTTTCTTTTGTTAGGTTTGACAGAAGATGAAATTCAAAAGGCTTTAGAGCTTTCACAAACTGCAGATCCTGGCAAAGATGTTATTCCAAGGTGAAATATTTTACCTATCCTCGCATGTGTATCCCACACACGTCACAAAATGGGGGGGGGGGGAACTTTTCAACATGTATGGATCTTGATCAAATGAATAAAGAGGATGGGTCTTGATCAAATGAATAAAGAGTCTTGAGTTGTGCCATTTGATTGACATTAGATAGTTTTTCTAATTAGATAATCAAATTAATCATGTCAATTAGCATTGTTGTTTAATGTACCATTCAGTAACTGTCAATTCTTTGTTTAAAATATTTTATCGGTAGAGCTGTAAGGAATCCCTACTGTATAACAGAACAAAACAGATTGTATAAAATGCATATGTTGTGGTATCATTGGCATGCATTGTACATAACCATATGTTGCTTGCTAAATTGCTAACTTTAGCTAATATGTTACGTTATATGGGACGGTATGATTGCATACTTGCCACATGCTCGTAAACAATGAATGTGGATTGTGTTATTTCATACCAGACTTTTATGAGCCTTTCAAAGTGTCCGCCACTGCGTGTATCCTTCCATTTTGATAAGTACCCTATTCAGGCCTAGGCAGGGTTTTTTCAGGGATTTTTTGGGGCCGTTAAACAGCCCCAAAAACTCAATCTTGAATTGAGTTTTGAAACTCAATCTTCTCACCAAATTTTCAGTGCAGTAAAAATGAAGTTGTTTGAGTTAAATTCGTGACATGTGGAAATTAGTTTTCAGTTGGAAACCCGACAATTAAGAAAAAATGGCTGGAATTCATCTCACAACATAAGAAAAACTATGCATTTGCCATCTTTAACCAGTTTATAGTGTCCCTTAGTGCCCCTGCTTTAACACATTCTGTCTCGACTACATTTATTGAGTACAGGTGTCAGCCCCACAGCTAAACTCAATCTTCTCTGCAAAAACGGACCCAAGAGAAAATCCGGGAAGAAAACCCTGCTAGGGAAAACCAATTTCTTTCTGTGATCTCTGTGACATGGATAATTACTGGTATTGGAACTAGAAAACATAGCTTTATCAATTAATGTACTGCAATTACCTAAACTATATAAATGTAATAATTTTTTTCTTGAATTAAGAAATCCAGGTCAAGGCCAGGCTGTGTTTCCAGGTGTGGTATTAATAAAATAACCCTACATTTTTTTTACTCTGAACTCCTAATGGTAAACCATTTTAAAGGGAGAGTGCTGTGATCTGTCATTACATCCTGTTAACCCTTTAATATAGTTTATAAACTGAGAATGTGGGATATATAACTTGTACCAACTTGTTTGCTAGCTGAGGAGGTTTTCGAACAAGGTTTCATCAATTTCAAAGATGGTCGATCAAGATTATCCGAGTTTTGTCAACAAGTAAACTAATTATTTATTCACAGGTTATAACCTGTCTACATCCCATGGTACCATCAGTGCATGGTACAGGTACATCAAAGAAAACTGACTCAACTAGTAAATAAATGGCAATGCACCCTGATGGGCCCTACTTTATTATCTTATACAGGGGTGGAAAAAATAGGTGAGCACGCGAGCACTTCTCGCAGGAAATGTTAAACAGCTGCAGGAAATGAAGATTTGCTATTGAAAATTTGAAGGAAACCTTAACACCCATGTTGCACAACAAGAATATATGATTGACAGACATTATTCCTTGAATTTAAAATCACGGTCAGATAGAACACTATATATTTATGCACATGTAGATTTAGCACAAAAATACTCCGTTGGTCTGCAGGAAATTTTTGTCTCCAGGTTATGCTCCCAGGAAGAAAATTATTTTTTCCCGCCCTGATCATAACTGTCCAACGGCAGATAATTTTACTTGTTAAAGGAAGAGTACTGCCAGTCAATGCGCCAAATATTAATAATACTCTGCTGTGCTTTGTTTCGTAACTTACTGCAAAAGATTAAAAATAAGAGTTTACATTTTATTTCATACATTTTCCCAATTCTCAGGCCAGCCTCCACCATTCACACTGAGATTGCGAGATTTCTTTTGGGTTGCATTAGTTGGTGGTAGTTTTGGATACCTTCTCGCTCATTTGGTCAAGGTACGTCTAAGGTTAATCAATTATCTTAAGCAGATATTCACTGCATACAGTATTTCCAATGTATTAAGGCCTGTCAAAAAACATCCTGTGGTTCCGGTTTATATCATTCACATTAGAGATGTGGATCGGATTGGAGGTTTACAATCCGACGATTGGTAATTTTTTCCGAATCCGATCCGAAATTGTCTGATCCGAATCCAATCCGAGTTTGCTAAAGCGTTCCGATCCGATAAAAACAATCAAGTGTATAACTGCATATCAATGTCAAAGTTTTTAATTTCTAGACTCTAGTCTTTGCAGAAGCCAATTCGCAATCTCACGTTAAAAGAACTCAGATATTTTATTCTTTAGAAATAGAGTTAAGCCCAGGGCAAACTACGTAGGAAACATTGTTGCGGAAACATTGTTTCCTACCAATGTTTCGCCATGTTTCCCTGAGTGGGCAAACACTAGGAAACATTAGTGAGAAACATAGGGAAACATCAAATGTTTCTGAATTTGGTATAGGAAACATTTTGCTTCCTGGGAAGCAAATTTTGTTTCCGCAACAATGTTTCCACGGGTGGGCAAACATGGAAACATTTGAGGAAACATTGTGAATCACAAATGTTTCCGCAACAATGTTTCCTAGTTTGCCCTGGGCTTTAGACAATAGACAGTTAGAAATAAACAAAATAGAAAACGGAAGCACCATAAGCTTTTAGTTTTCACAGCAGCCCTGGTAATCAAAGTCCGATTCGTTCCGACTACGAAAATACTATTCCGATCCGAAGTGAATATTACAGCTCCGAAATCCGATCGGGTCGGATTTGTTTCGGATCGGATTTGCACACTATTATTAAGTGAGCAGACCTCTGAGTACCAAGATATTTTCTCCCGGTTGCTTCTTTTAATTGTTAGGACGAAGTGGAATATTTTCCGATTCACCTATCTGGCAAGAAACGATAATCATGTGAAAATTCAGGCCTTAAAATATCGGTCGGTCACGGACATTGTCCGACCCATTCCTGAAATTGTCCGACATTAGAGAGGAAACCACCGGACATTCTGTCCGTCCAAAGTGAAATTGTGCTTTATTGTTTGTCCGACCCGAGTGTATTGGTGTTAGACCGAACTGTAGCTTTCTCCAACGTACATAAATCAAAATGCACCATCGTCCAGGACTAGACGCTTGTATGTTAAATGGAGAAGTAGAGTATTGTATAAAAAGTCAACCGGAAAAGTTGTTTTAATGTAATCGAGCAAGGGGCGGTGAGAGAAATGGTGAAGTGGAAAACGGGCTTAAGTTGTCGAAGTGTTGTACTACACGCGTAAAGATCTCTCACATCTTGTAGCACGTCTGCCAACAAGCCGTCAACAAGTTGTGTTCGCACTGCTTGTCCCAAGTTGTCAACAAGTTTGGAACAAGTTGTTAACAACTTGTGACAAGTTTGTTATCAGACTTGTTGCAAGGTTGTTCCATCCAGTCATGATATAATAATATTGTTACAACTTTGTAAGAACAACCTTGTAACAAGTCTGTAATGCCATCAACTCATCAAGCTTGTTACAAGTTGTTAACAGCTTGTTTCAAACTTGGGACAACAACTGGGAACAAGCAGTGCGAACACAACTTGTCGACAGCTTCTGAACATATTTGTAACAACTTGTTTGCAGACTTGTAACAATTTGTGCGTTTTTACGTGTGTACACAGGTAAAAACGCACAAATTGTAACAAACCTGCAGCAGACTTGTAGCAACGCTGTTCCAACAACTTGTCAACAGGATGCGAACACATCTTGTTCACAACTTGCGAGATTTTTACGTGTGTAGATAACTGCATACTACACACGTAAAAACACACAAATTGTTACAGATCTGCAAACAAGTTGTAACAAGGTTGTTGTGAAGCCGGTATCAGGATGTGTTCGCACTGCTTGTTCCCAGTTGTTGTGACAAGTCTGGAACAAGTTGTTATCACCTTGTTACAAGGTTGATGACGGTAACAGACTTGCTTGCATGTTGTTCCAACAAGACTACGCACGTAAAAATCTCACATCTTGTAGCAAGTCTGCTAACAAGCCGTCAACAAGTTGTGTTCGCACTGCTTGTCACAAATTGTCAACAAGTTTGGAACAAGCTGTTAACTAGAAATACATGCATGCAATAACCCCTCGCCTGTTTTCAAAAGATGTATACTCAGTGCCGTTGTGTGCACTTCGTCTCAGGGTGTGTGTGAGGTTAGATAGAGGGGGGGGGGGGGGGGGGG